ATCGAAGAAACAATTGGAATTGTTCGGAGACTTGAAGGGAGGCACCGCGGAAACCCGGCATGGCGCAACACAGTGCCGCAACACATCATTTCACATATTCGGGCGAACGTGGGCGCCGACGCGTCCATGGCACCGTTGGTCCCTAGCCGATCGTAACCGCGCATGGTATCACAACACAACTTGCGTATACCCATCCGTTTGGTAGTTCACTATCGAAGTTGCGCCCAGGTACCTGCTTACGCTCGTACAACCCCCCTGCACTCAAGAAGCGTTGCCGATTAGTACTCACCGCATATGCACAGGGAAGTGCAAAGTGGCGGAACACTCGTGGCCTGCACGTAGTCGAACTGCAAGGTTCCTGCGCAGCCGGGTAAGACGAATAGCGCCACGATGCTGGACGACTTCACGCCAACGAAACAAAACAGTTAGCGCGTGCGTCACGGTGTGCTGCCTGAGCCAGACAGGCGGCGGGCCTGTCCAGAAGCTATTGGAACCTGAACGGGTCTGTCGCCAAAATGTAAACTACGGCCTCGCTTCAGACCGGATTTGGATACGATTTTTTGGCCTCCCAAAGACGCAGGTGGGGGAGGCGCAACTAAGACCCCCCGTCTTTGATCAATTGCCTTCAAAACTGGGCCCCAAACAAAGACCCGAGAGCCCCACAACCCGCCTTCCCCCCTTCTCCACCCCTCGTTCACGGCCGACACGCGAGAATAACGTCTATGCTGTCGGACGACGAATTGTCGGCGGGCGAGCGACACAACGAATTTCCCCCAGAGGGAAAATCTGGCAAGGCGAATCGGGAACTTCTGAAATTCTTCTCGGGCGATCGCGAATATTTGGTTCTGGCGCACCAGGAATTTGCTGGTCGTTCCTGGAGGACCCCCCAACGCATCGAGAGGCTGGTGAGCCTGGAGGAAGGTCTGATCCCATCGCTGCCGCCGATAACCCAACGTCCATCAGAGACAACCAGCCCTGCGAACACAATCGTTTCTCTGACTTGAAGCCCGCCTGTCCCGATACACGACGGACTATGGATAAGTCAAGAAATTGTTCGCCCCGAGCTTGCCCCATGAACCCATAATTAAACACCGCAATACAACACGCCTGCCCTAATTCCGAAAACTCGACCCTTAGCGAGATAATCCTTCTCACCCCGAATTTGCAGTTTTGGGGCGGGAGCCATCGATACCGGCAACGCGATTCTCAGGCATCCGGATACTTCGTGAAGGACACGCGAACACGAGAATGAGACATCAAAGCGGCAACGCATTGATGACGACAACGACGCCAAACGGTACCCAATCACACAATTACTCGGTAAAATTATGCTGTGAGAGTAGCTGCACCTACCAACCCGTTGGTGACTGTCAGTGCACGGCGGACGCAAGCACGCCCACTTGCCCGCCTGCCCGCCCGCCTGCCCGCCCGCATGCTTTCGTCAGGTGGCAGCGCAAGGAGGAGAAGCCAAATCGTGCTTTGTTATGCCCGTGGAAAAAAGGGGGCGACCCATGAATACAAGTCTACTCTACCCGCCACATGGCAACACAGGAAGCGGAAACACATTAATTGACTCGTCACTTGGCAAAGCACGAAATGGCGGCCCAACATATTTTCGTATGTGTTCCACAAGGGCGACAAAGAAGAGTGGTTCGGCGACGACAGGGACGACGACAATCATGTTAAGACTGTTCGCTCTGATCCGCTCGCGTGCCAGTCAACACGTATATCCCACGCCATCGATACCCGCCATCTTCGTCTTCGATCGTACCCCTTTGGGTGTAGATCTTCCTTACCTGCGACGTTCATTTGGCGCAGACCCTCAGACAGGGGAAGAGAGGACGGATGGAGGGAGGGGACAAAAGGGAGGGCAGAAGGATGAAGCACAAGAGATTCGAAAACACGCGGCAGAACCAGACGGGCAGATCGGGCGGCCAGGTCGAGCAGGCGGGTTGCTGATGCGTGTCCTGCAGGCATCGCGAGGACAGCTCGATCGATAGCGCGATGTCCAAGCACATCGTGAAAAGGTCAGAGTGAGAGCGTGATTCATGAGTGTCGAGGGCGCGGCGTCTAAGTACATCGCGAATAAACGCCACGCGAAAAAGAGATTTCTGGATCAAGTCTGCGGAAATCCCGCGCGAGAACACGATGTTAGACTACATTGGACGTATCAAGAGGCTGTTATTGTAAACCCGGGGCCAACGGTCCTGTCTGAACCCCAAGCTTTCCCTCGTGACAAACAAGGTGCGACACCGGGAGGGGCCCTTTAATCCCACGAACACATTGGGCTGGGGTGGTCTGGCGATTTCTGTCTATCCTTGTCTTTGAAACCCTCTTCCCTTCCGGAAGGGGCATCCTCCCCCTCCCCTCCACGATGTGTTGGGGCAGCGACGTGTTAGGGGCGGGCCGCGACATGTTAGGTGGTCCGTTTTCGCCCAACGTGGCTCCAACATGGCCTACGATGCTCCAAGATGGCTTTCGAAATTTCCCAAGATAGCCGACGATGGTTCAAGATAGCTTCTGGCATACCTCCAAGGGGCCCCACGAGGGCCACAAGACCCTTCCAAGTGCTCTCAGAGTAGCCTGTCGGGACACGCCCAACAGGCCAAAATCCTTCAGCAACCTGAGGAAAATAATGATGCTTGGTGTCTCGACTTGTCGCCTCCGATGCGCTTTTTGAGGCCTCGATATGCCCCAAGATGGCCCAAGGGAGGCCCAAGAGGGGCCCAAGAGGCCCCTCAGACGGCCCCCGAAGCGCTCAAGGGCGGTTCAAGAGCGTCACACGAGGGCTCCAAGAAGCGAGAGCCCCAAGAGAGCCCCAGAAGGGCCCCAAGACCCCCCCCCAAAGAGCTCCAAGAGGGCAGACATTGCGCCGAAAGAGTCCTTAGAGGGCTCCAAAAGGCGACTTGAGGGCGCGGTCCGAGATGTTGCTGTCGATTGAGACCTCTTGGGGTTTGAATTGATACCGACACTTTGGTATGTAGCAACTTCACGGGCGAGGGGCGTTTCCTTTGTCACAGTGAGATGTCACTTCACGCTCCCTTCAAATAAGCTCACAGGATTGTGCGTCGGTTTGACGGAAGTGGGGCTGACCCTTTTCTCTCCAAACAAGTCTCTCACTGGACACTGGTGCCATGTTGTTGGCTCTAGAAGGATGCAAGGCAGTTCTTTTCCAAGGCGGGGCTGAATGAGGCGCTTCTTGTTGTGAACAACGAGTATTGCATGATGTCGCGAAGGGACTTCGGACGGGAGGGAGCACTGCAGAATCGCTTACGCTTTCTGAATTTCATGTGGTCCAACCTCCTCCTCCTGAACCCCTCCTCCTCCTGAACCCCTCCTCCTCCTCCTCCTCCTCCTCCTCCTCCTCCTCCTCCTCCTCCTCCTCGTTATCATCATCCCTCCTCCTTCTCCTCCTCTTCCTCCTCCTCCTCATCTTCCTCCTTCTCGTTCCCATGCTACGGGGCTCACCATTCCTGCTCTATCCATCCTCCCCATCATTACCATCCTCATCCTCACGCCCCTGCACTCAGGTCTAGCAGAAGAGATGGCGGCCAAACTAAACCCTGTGTTCCACAAGAGGCTGCTACACAAGGTCTTTTTGTGTATAAAAATGTTCTGGATGGCATTTCGGGTAAACCAGAAACATACTCTGGGTTAATAATACTGGGGGGTACCCCCCGACAGGGGTCAACCTCGCCTCGGCGTCGCGCGGCGACGGTGGTCGGAGCGCCTTCGGCGCCCGGTGGCTGCCCGCGACGGGGGTCGATGTGGGGCTGTCGGCGGGGGGGATGCCCCCTCGACGCTTATTCAGAAACTCTGAGTATATACATAACAGGGAACTCACAGGCATCCCGTGCGTGCCCGCTCCAGGAACATATGACTACCACATCGGATATTCTATCAATCACGGACTGCGGACCCCCGGTTGCGTGGTAGATGCGCAGACGCTGGATGCGTATGCGTATAATCCTTGTCAACAGATGCCCGTACGCTAAATGCCAAACAAAAACAACCCTGATTCAGTAGAGGCAAAAACATCCACCCCCACAATAACCACCCCGACACGCGAAGTCGTTTAGTAAAAGGACCAAAAAAGGAATCGAACAGGGCAGGGCTGTTTAATAAACGCCCAAGGCCGTTTAGTAAACGCCATTTGTCTGGTCCGGGTAGTGTTTCCTCCCTTGACGAAGGACACAACGATACGCAGTTGCGAGTACCGCAAGGGAGGTGCTACGACGAAGACGGGCGAGCAAACTACAAGCGGCAGGACCGTATCTCGGCAACCCACCTGGCACGTCCGCGCAGCACGTCCCCTAGCGCATCGTGCGGCACACCACGTGTGCCATCCCACGGCGTGTTCCTTGGTGTCTTTCAGGAAGTCCCCTGGCGCCTCGACTGGCGCGTCGACTGCACGTCCCTGGCACGTTGCGCGGCACGTCCACTGGCTCTTTCCCTGGCATCCCCCCTGGCGCTTCCAGTGGCACGCACGTCCCCTGGCGCGTCTACTGCTCTGCCACGACTCCTGACTCGTCCGCTGCCGTATTCCGTGGCACGTCCGATGGCTCGTCACGCAGGGCGTCGCATGCACGTTCCGTGACGAGTTCCCTGTCGCGTCCACTGGCGCGTCCAGCGGGACGTCCCCTGGAATGTTCTATGGCTGGTCCCCTGGCGCGACCCCTGGCATGCAGCCTGGCACGTCCGCTGGCGCATCCCTGACACGTCCATGGCAGGCCTCTTGAGACGCCCCCTGGCACATCTGAATGGATAAAAAAACGTGTTCAAGAACAAGCTGCCGGCGGCGGCAAGGGGAGGGAGGGAGTGGAGAGGGGGGCCAACATCAACTCAGATCTGTCCCCACACCCCTCACGGGGTCCATCGTGGCCGCCGTGACCAGTTCTTCGATCTGCACTTGGCCGCGGCGAACGAGGAGTGCCAAGAGACTACCGAAGGCATCAGAAACAGAGAGGTCGTCGTCTTCGTCACTCCTCCTCGTCCCTCTCCCACGGAGCTCCTTCATGGAGGCGCCCCAGCGGCTCGACCTGCGGTGGCTCCCCGCGGACACTGCTGCTCCCAGCATGGCGCGGGCCGCTGATGTTGCTCCTCCGCCCCCCCCCCTTGCCGCCTCCTTACGGGCACATGCTGACACGGATCGGAAACCTTCTCCCAAAACAGTGCCGCCCGATTGGGCGACGGAGAGTGTCGATGTTGCATGGAAGCGGGGAACCTCGCCCGATTTTTGCGTTTCCTCGATCCTCCCCCTTTTTGACCTTCGGGCGGGTTGGGGGATGACTAAATGGGGGATGAAGATAAGGGCCCAGTTTGGTCCCCCCATGTAGGTCGCCCCCCATTACCACCCGCCCGACTCCCGCCTATCCCTCCCCCCGTACTTCCGCTCCACTCCCAGGTCCCTTCACAAAGGCTCCCCGGCCTGCTCGAACGGCGCTGCCCCGTCGTGGGTTACCACTGCCCTGCGTACAAATCGGGCTGCTGCTGATGTTCCGCCACCTCCCCATCCGCCTCCTCCAGTACCTCATCATTCGCCGTGGCTCCCCTCCCTCCCTTCCAACTCCTCCATCTCCTAATCCTGGGGATCGCATTCGGAGCTCTCTCGATATCTTATCTTGATTCCCCAATCAGATTCTCCCTCCCCATCCAACTCGGCGTTTGTGACCACCGTGCTCCCCAAGGCGGGACAGCCCAAGAATCGGACCCAGGAAACATGCTAAAACTTCCCACAGCGATACCACGCAAACTCACGTCATCTGCGAAATCCATGTTTGAGCAACTACCAAGCAATCGGGACCGAACCCACCGCGTCTCCCGACGGTGGTCAGAGTTGGCTGCATCATGTGTCACGGTGTTGCTGTCATGTCATGCTTTCGGCCGGCGCACGGTTTTGCGCTTTCGTCGCGCAGCGATGCAATCAATGTTGCGTTTTGTTGCACGTCTGGCAATTGCGTAACCAATTATTTGCGATTAGCGCGCCTCCCGCACACTCGTGGTGAAGTCGGCTTTGCGGAATGTCTGCAGCGCCGCGCGTGTCTCGCCCAAAGTCAGGGCTGACGGTGAAGGCACGTCTCACGCTAGGTTCAAAAGGGTGCGCGCTGCAAGGTTGGCATGACTGACATTGCCGGCCGTCCAAACACAAGGCTCGTCTTCTTTCAGGGAGCAGCTCCACGCATTCGCAGAAAAACGCCACGACGAACCCCGCACAGACTCACATACTTATTTTTGCGAAGAGGCAGACCCTTTCAGACCGCAGAGCGCATGCAACACAAACCAGCACATTGAGCCCGAATGCGAAGTGTGCCGCAAAAACCCTCGGTGCACCCCCCTTGGAGGCCACGAGCGAACCGTATGAAAACTGTACTGACATGGTCCGGGCGGCGGCGCGCGGCCTGTGCTACAATGGCCGGCGGTGGAGCTCCTAATGATGCCACGAGCCGAATGAAGAAAGGACTGAAATGGTCTCGGCGGCGGCAAGCGGCCTGTGTTTCAAAACCATTGGTGACGTTCCCTATGGGGCCACAAACCGTGTCAGGGCGTGCTGACATGGCCCAAACAATGCAAAGTTGCCTGCGCTACAAGGGCCTTCGGCGAGACTCCGTATGGGACCACGAATTGCAAGAGCTAAAACATGAAATGGCCTGGGCAGCGGCGTGCGGCCTGTGCTGGAACGACAAACTTCGGTCGAGCTCCCTGTGGGGCAACGAACAGTGTGAGGGGGTTCTGGAGTGGATTGGGCGGTGGCAAGCGGTTGTGCGACAAGGCCATCTGCGCTGCATCCTGTGGAGCCACGAGCCGCGTGAGAACGTGCTGCTATGCTCTCGGCGACGGCGTGCGGCGCGCGCAACAGCAACCTTGAGCGTTAACCTCAATGAGGCCACGATACGCGCGATAATTGATTTGAACATGTATGGCCGGAAGCACGCAGCCTGCGCAGTAACAAAAATGTTCGGCCGAACTTCCCATGGTGCCACGAATCGTGCGAATACAGCAGTGAAGCGGTCTTGGCGGCGGCATGAGGCCTATGCCCAAAAAGCCGTCGGCGAGGTCCTCTTCGGGGCCACGTGCGGTGCGAAGCAAGACCTTCAGTGGACTACGCGGCGGCAGGAGGTTTGCGTTACAAGGGCCCCCGGTGGAACTTCCAATGGGGCCACGAACTGCTCGAGGGGAGTGTTTAAGTTGTCTGGGCGGCGGCAAGCGGCCCGAGCTGCAAAAGACTTCGGCGAAGCATCCTATGGGGCCACGAACCGAACGAAGGGTGTGCTGACATGGTTTAAGCGGCGGCACGCATCCTTTGCTACGAGAGTCTTCGGTGTCACCTTCTTATGGGGCCGCGAACCGTGTGGGGTGCGTGCTGAATTGGCATCGGGCAGCGGAAAGCGGCCTGTGCTACGGAGGCCTTCGGCGGGGCCCTATGGGGCCACGAATCGTTCGGACGGCGTGCGGAAACTGCATTGGCGGAGATAAAACGAAGATCCACCATGCAACAAACATATATACGAAGAGGAGCTGAAGTGGCTTGGAGTAGGAGGCGGCGGTAGAGGGGGGGAAGACAGGAGAGAAGGCGCTCAGCGCTGCGGGCTCACAACGAGGACCCAACAGACATGATAATTTGAACAAAACGACGGCCTCCAAGAGCTCCATCGCGCTACTCTTCCGATGGCTCACATGCCTCCGCGTCGCCTCCAAGGCAGGCGAAGGACGGCTCGAAGACAAACCGAGTCCGCAGCAACGCAACCCAAAGCCTTCCATTGATCCCCCATGGGGCACCAGGGAGTCGCCAAGATGCCCCCGAGAGAAAAAACACAAAATCCTGTTAAGGCACTGATACAAGACATCAAGACAGCTCCAGGACGGCCCACTGCCGGCCCCGCGCAGGCTCCATCAGCTCATTTTCGCACACCCGGTGTCATAATCTGGAGGCAGCATCGGTTGACTCCCCCGCCCATGCCCCCAACGACGCGACAACTCTGGGACCCAGACAGCGCTTTGGATCCCCAGTCGCAATGGACTCGAGAGCCCTGGGGGGCCATGCCGAGCCCGCGCCAGGCCCCTCTGGACATGTCGAAAACCACTGCCGATGGGGAGTCCGGACCCACCGCCGCGGGAGCGCCCATGGGGGCCGCGATGGGTTCGGACTCCCCTCGGCAGTCCTCCCAGACGTGTAAAAAAACGATGCCGAGGGGAGTCTGGACCCACCGCGGGGGGGGAGTCCGGACCCACCGCGGGCCCATGGGAGCCCTCGCGGAGGCTTCCATGGGCTTCCCCGCAAAGCCCTCTGCCCCCCCCGCCGCCCCTGTCTCTCCCCCCCTCGTTGCCCCTCGTTTCTGCTCCTACGCCCCCCTCGTCGATCCTGCCTCCAATGCCGTCCGCCCACGCATTGTGACAGCTCCGAGCCTCACCAAAATATGTTGTAACTGCGAGGCACTGCTCGCCCACGCGCTAACAAAAATGCTCTGGATGCCCCTCATCGGAGGCGCCCCTCGCCCGCATCACCCTTCAAATAGTGACCCCGCCATCGATCGCCCTCATCATGCTGGCCCGTCTTTCCGACGTCTCCCTTCTGCCCCTCCAATGCAGATTGAAACTGGCGAAAGAGCCAGCACTTTCTGAACGCAGCGCGAAAATAGACAAGACCGCCCGACACGCGCGGACACAATGAGACCGCATGCGAAATTAACCACAGGGGCCTCCGGTGGAACTCCCCATGAAGCCATCAAGCGGGTGAAGACTGCGCTTACATGGTCTGGGCGGCGGCAAACAACCTGCGCCGCGAAACCCTTCGGTGGAACTCCCAATGAGCCCACGAATCGTGCGAGGCAGCGCTGAATTGGCTTGGGGCGGCGGCTTGCGGCCTGTGCTCCACATTTGGCAACAAAAAACGTTGGCCGCGTGCTGAAATGGTCTGTGCGGCGCAGTGCGGCATGTGCCACAAACACCTTCGGCAGAGTTCCCTACGGGGTCACGAACCGTGAGGGGTGCGTGCTGATGGGCTGGGGTGGCGGCGTGCGGTTTGTGCCTGACGACCCTTCATTGGAGTTTCCGCATGCGGCCGCGGATCGTGCGAAGACAGTTGAAATGGCCCGGGCGGCGACGTGCGGCCTGTGTCACCAGCGTTTTCGGCGGAATCCCTTATATTGCCACGAAACGCATGGCTGGCGTATTAAAAGAGGCTGAGCGGCAGCATGCGCCCTGCGCTACAAACGCCTTCGATGCGGTTTCGCATGATTCGGCGACGAACCGTTCGATGGGCGCGCTGCGACGGTCTGCGCGGTGGCACGCGTCCTGCGCAGCATCGATAAATTTGGCACAGCTCCGCGGGGGTCCGCGAACCGTGCATTGAATGAACTAAAACGGTCTGGGCGGTGGCAAACGGCCTATCCAACAAAATTCCCTATGGGGCCACGGATGGCGCGGCGGGCGCGTTGAAATGGCCAGGGCGCGGCTCGCGGCCTGTGCCGCAGGGGCCTTCAATGAAACTCCAAAAAATATGGGGGCGCGAACCGCGAGAGAAACGGCCCTCAAGGGGTCTGGGCGGCGTCGTGCGGCCTGTGCTCTGCGGGATCTCGGTTGAGCTCCTTCTGGGGCAACCGACCTTGTGAAAATGGTTCGGGCATGGTCGGCGAGGCGGCGCGCGACCGCGACGCATCGGCAGGGGTGCGCACGGGGCCATAACGCGCGCTAAACTTGTCGCGGCATCGGCATGCGATTTGCGCCACGGGGGCTTTCAATGATAAGCCGCGCGGGGGCAACGAACAGCGCGCGGCGTGAAGGGCGTGCTGAAATTCCCTTGGCGCGGCTACAAGCCGAAAGCCCACCGCGCAAGATGGAAGGGGATGGACGATGAGGGAACGAAGCGGGGAGGAGGATCAGGAAGAGGAGGACGAGGTGAGGGGGGGGGGAGTAAAGGAAAAAGGATGTGGCGCGAAGCGCCGCGAATTCAAAGCGAGGACCTAAAATGCGGGAGGGCAAGGAACAAGGGCAAACAAACACATCGAAGGCTAACGGCGGCAAACGCGCGCACCGCGCGCGC